CTAGCACCTGGCATCGCTACTAGGAGCAAGAACGCTACTAGGGGCTCTCCTGGGGGCTCCTGGCATCGCTACTAGGAGCAAGAACGCTACTAGGGGCTCGTGGTTGGAGCAAGAACGCTACTAGGGGCTCCTGGCATCGCTACTAGGAGCAAGAACGCTACTAGGGATGTCAAATCTTCAAGTTTGCCTTTGGGCGATCTTCGGTTTCAGGTCAAGCAGCAGAAAGGTTGCCGCCGTGGGTCTGACCCTTCATCCTTGGCCCCACGAAGCTCCTCAGGGAATGACTGGTGGAGGACAACGAGGACAAGCCCAGATTCTGCTTCGCTGACCCATTCCAAGACTGCGCCGCTTCAATGGGAGGAAGGAAATCGGAAGGAAGCCCTGCCTTCTTTTCACATCTTGGTGAGTTGATACATGTGTCCCTTTTTTAAGTGTGCGCTTGGGAAAAAAGATATTAGATGATGTAAAAAATAGATTAAAAAAATAAATAAATACATGTATATATATATACAATATACCATATAGTATCACGCCGCCTGACCTACTAAAAGTTAACAAGGTTTAAGTGCATGCATTGTCAGGATAAACTAAAGAAACGATCCAAGGAGCAGGTTGGAACTTACATTGCTCCGTCGGAACAGGTGTGTAAAAGTCTTGCGCCATAGGGGAAAACAACATGATCCAAAAGCAAGTGGTCCACGCAGAACCGGCACTGGCTCCTCTTCAGCTTGTACAAGCTCCGTTCTTGACAGTCCTGCTTGCGCACGCTTCCTGAAACGTTAAGCGCCACAGACTCCGACCATGCAATGCTTCAACTGGTGCAGTATTATTAGGAATACAAAAGGAACGGAACACAAGAAGGCAAGGGCTCCTTGATTCTTTAATCAAGGAGCCCTTACCTTACCTTCTTATATATTTGCAATTGTCTTATTCCTACTGTGAGTTGCATATGAAACATGCATGACCCAATCATGGCTTTGTCCTTGCTTTGAAGACTCTGAAGGCATCTATGAAAGCCATCTTCCTTACAGGGTTAGTCACAAGCTTACCACCACCTGAACACAAATTAAATTTCCAAACGTTCCCAGCAAAAGACCCTGCCTCAAAGCTTGCTTTGCCTCTTCGCCCGCCTCTTGCAACAGCTCAGGCTGTTGAAAAGCATCGCGCAAGGGAGCACCAGGGGGCAGCTTCGAACGCAGCATGTTGATGAAGGTCGCCTTACAAAGGCCAGGACCACACCACGACTATATACATACAGCTACAAAACGATTATACTACAGGTACCAGTGCTACATTGGTGATTTGTAGGCAGCCACATAATCGGAGCTGTCTTTGTCAGTTCAGGCTAGATATTTTCAGTTTTTGATAGCATACCCCTTATTTCTCAGCCTGCGGTGACAGACGGCATCTTCTCAACTCCAGACATTGCCACCCATCGGTCAGAAGCTTCAACCGCTTGCCACTGTGAGAGATGAGAATCAAGAGGCCATCAGGCTGCAAGACCCGCCAGATTTCGCTCACCATTGCCTCATGCTTTGCTTCAGACGTTGGGTGTGGCTCTGGTTGGCTCACAGCTTGAATCCCTCCGAAACAAATAGACATAAGAGTTACTGTAATCAGTAAGCGTCCTGGTAAAAAATGAACCCATCTGAGGAACTCCGGCAATCTCGTCACTTCCAGACGTCATCATGGCATCTAAAGTTCCTTTGTCCACTGCCAGATTGAAGGTACCATCTTGGAAAGACATTGCCGTTGCATCCATGACTTGCCTGGGTTCAGAGACTGAGGGACATTTCATAAGACACCAGGGAGGTGTTGGAATATAAAGAAACAATAGAGAAAAGGTAGTTCGGATCAGAACATGTTGCCAGCTCATGCCTGGCAAATTGAATTGCTCTTGCATCTTTGAGATGGCCGAGGCAGAGATGTCTATGCTTGTAATGTGCAAATATCCCGCAGCATAGAGCTCTGATGAGAAGGCAGAATTTCCACAACCCACCACCAGGACTGGGCTGCTCTGCTTTGACTGCTCCGCAGGATAAAACTCTTCAAAGGTATCTTTCAACTCTGCATAAGTCGCATACCAGTCAAAAAGACCCTCAGAACCTTGAAAGCGAGCATCCCAAAAGTCTGGATTTGCGTAGCGCTCTACCGTCGTCATGCAAGGACAAAAGAAGAATGCGCTGTGCCGCTGTGCTTTTCTTTACTTGCTGCTACTCGCCATGAACGGAACTCCTGAAAGACCATGTCTCCTACTCAGCAAGGTCATTCATGCTTGTTCCCTACTTTTGCTGGAACTTAAGACCTTTTCTCTTCGGGTTCAACATGTACAGTCTGGGCATGTCAAGCAACCAACGCCAGTATCAGGGCTTGATCAAATGCTGCAAGAACATATACATGTTCTCAGCCAAAGTAGTCCAATTCAATATACAGACTACAGACCATTCAAAAGGGCCACGCACTCAACTAACCTGGAATCTTTTGAAGCGTCACGCAGAGGCTTCAAAAAGCGAGCTGGCATGTGCAAGACCCGCGATACGTTTACACTGACTGCAAGAGCAAAACAGGTCAATGACTGCTGACCTTGATCTTGTGGTCTGGCCCCAATTCATCAATGACTACGCTTGAGCCTCTTGATCCCTTTGGGATGAGAGGGAAGCGTGGTGACACTTTGTACAGATTGTGGGCTGCATAGACACGCATAGTCGTGCTCTTCTCAAGTCTGTTCGTGGCTACCTAGACTTCCTAGTTGAGTTGAATTTTGTCAGACAAGAAGGCTTGCCGCTTAGTCCATCAATGTTGAAACAACTGCATGCTTGTCAGGGTTGAACATGTGGTCTCAAAAAAGAAACATATAAGAATATAAAAGGAACTCAAATGGATTTCTGTGGATCTAGAATGCCAACTGATGGTCTCATCTCTGGCCAAGCAGTCCAAATGAAGATTTTCAGCAGCTGCTACCGCAGCAGCACGTCTGGCCCATGGCCATGGGGGCTTTCAGGAGAGCTGCTACCTCACCAAGGCAGCATACAATCACTGAAAACCCACAAACAAAGACATCCCCTTCAGAAAAAGGGATGAAAAGAACAATGTAAGTAAGGGGCTACCTTTTGTCCTGTCTTCTAGAAGGCACCATGTTCTCTTCTCTTCATATTTGATGATTGTCCAAGATGCTTGGCTCCACTCGCCGATGAATCAGCATGTCAGGCATGGGTTTGAACCACAAGCCTTTGAGGCTCTGCATAATGCTCTGCGTTGAGTAGGAGTTGAAGACCTGATCAAGCAAATGTTGGCTCAAATGTTTTCCAATGAATAATGACATCCTTGATACAATCACTTCCATACATGCCATGACTGGCAGGATGCTTGCTTGGATGGATTTCTTTCACCAGCTTGGTTCTGGATGGTTTTGTTATAATATATATATATATTTGTACTCTTGGGACTTACCATAAATCTCAACTTGATACCTCATATTGCTCATTGTTAGAGTTCGAAGAGCGGAACCTCGGGTACAAGTGCACAGTTGCCCCTCAGTTCGAAGATTTGGGGTGAGCAGCTTGGCGCCAAGGGCACCCTTAGCACCACCACCACCACCACCATCATCAACAAAAACAACGTTCCTTACAACCGTGCTGATTAAGAACCAAAAGTGCCTTCCCTGCTTAAACTCACCTGTCATATCTGAGTGCAAAGGCAGTTGAGTGTTTGCTCCAAGAAGACAAACTGCAACATAATTTGGAGCCTAAAGAATAACGCGATTATATAATACCCATGCAATGAAGGCACTTGTTGCAGAGCGCAAAACTTTCAGGGTTGTGGTTTCTCATGAGGCCAGTCCGTAGTGCAGGAGCATGTCTTCCCCAAACTGTGTTCCCTGGTGCCTCCTTTGAAAAAATGAATACTGTAGATAAAAATAACCATGACTTCTTGGGGCCAACAACAACAACAAGCAAAACCTTAAAGTTTGCCTCTGCTTTCCGCTAAGGAAAGGGACCTACAGGACCTCCAGCTCTTAAGCATTCTCACTTCTTAGTTTTCGTACGCCAAAACGTGGCACAAAGCAGAAGATCGGCCGCGCCTGGCGAACGCTGAGCTGGGCCTTTCCTTTGTGGGGCTGAGTCATCTCAAACAAGGCCGGGGTTTGTTCGAACCTCACCAAGGCAAATGCAATGCTGTAAAGCCATGTGTATGTGTATATATATATATATCTGTAGACTGTAGAGACGGACGCTCCTAGGCGGTGATTGCCTTTGCATACGGTACTCTTTAAGGTACTCTGTGACCAATGTGCTGCCGAAGCACTTGGAATGGAGCATCGGCAATGACTCGCATCGTTGAACTGGAGACTTCTGAGTGAAGTCCAGCCCTGGTGGCTCCGCATGAGGCGTCGCTCGCTCCAGCTCAAGGATCTGCGGCCCATGCGCATGGGATCTCACAAACAGACCTTCGTCGTTTACAGTAGTTATGAATAAATTACAATAGCAATGGCCTCCAACCTGACAGAGATGGCCTCCACTTTTCCGCTTTTCCGCAAGATACTGGCACCGCAGCTGGTGGCGGGGGTAACCAGAAACGTGAGCTACAGTCTACAGCACAATGGCTTCGATGTCGGGGCCACAGGTGTAGGCATGACGAAATTGGAGGATGAACCTCTCAAGTGCATGGAACCGAGCAGGCTTTATGCGGCCACAAACACAGTGCGCCCAAAAGGTGGTGACCTTCGAGGAAGGTCGAGCGTAGCTTGTCGACAATTGGGTCGATTCACTGCGATGGATCCGCAGAAGGAGGAGACGGAACCATTTGATTCGGAGGACCAACTCGTGGCAGTTGGCTTCGGCCCTGTCGAACCATCTCCACTGCTTATATTTATTGGAGGGTTGGGCACCTCCCCGGTTAGTATGAAGAACGAAGTCAAGATCGAGGTACATCCACGGCAGGAAGCGAACTTCTGCGTCTGGATCAATCAAGCTTCGTGACCATTCGGAAATGGTGGGCCATGCATCGCCTACCAACTTCAAGCGGCGCAATCGTGGCCTCGGTGAGCGGCAGAGGGAAGGGCTCAGCTGGCACTTCTGTGGGAGCCATCCGTGTTTCCTTGACGACTGCTGATGCACTGACCTGGATGATGGTATCATGAATTTGGTTACGAAGAGTGCGGGCATCATCAATGGCCGTGACGGCTTGTTGCCATAGCAAAAACACATGCTGCGGCTCGCGCAGACTCATTTGGGCACACAAATCTGCATGGTTTTTGCATGTGAAGGCCCATCGCTCTACCGGGTCAGCTCCTTCGAGGTTCTGATGACTTGCACCCTTGTGAACCTGGACAGTGCCTGTTGGCATGGATCGAGCGAGTGCGACAAGTGGTGCCCACAAGTCCCCATCCTTGTGTGATGGGTGGTATGGATCAGTGGCTCTGAGGGCAATTTGGAGAGTGTCCACAACCAATGCGTTATCGCTCCAAATTCGAATTGGGGCGCCCAGTCGAACGGCATATCGGAGCGCACTCGTGGCGGCAACAGCCTGGGACTAGGCCTTGGGCCAGTGGGCTCCAATGCTCTGTGTCGGAGGGGTGAGCTGCAACAACCCCCCAGCCTGCGATCCGGGTGAATGGACAGGTAGGATTTGCACAAGATCCATCAACAAACAAGTCGGTTGGCACAAATGACAGGGGCTCGAAGCGGTCAGTGAGGTCTGGCTGAGCCCACAGTAGTCGATGTAGCTCATGCACTTCGGGCGGGAGGCCAATCCATCCATGGTATGTCAAACACTTTGGAAGGCCACCCTCGTTCACTTTGGAAGTGAGCCATGGGTGAGGTCTACATCCGGCGAAGTGCGTACATTCCCAAAACCGATGGTGTTGGGAGTCATTCTGGCCGCAGAACTTGCATGTCAGGGTGTGAGCTTTCTCATTATGCTTTTGGGAGTCTGCCGTAAAGAACGTTCCATTGAGGGCTTTTCGGAGCAAACCTAGCTTTTCTTGGGAAAAGTGTCGGGCCTTCTCCATGGTGAACGTTGCGTTGGCCCATGCAAGGCCCTGGAACGTTTTCTCTGGCATGCTCTCTGTTGCACAAGGTGTTGCCAGGCTTGGCAAAGCCTTTGCTGAACTTCTGTGGTGGACCCCCGAAAGAGGTCGATCGGCAGATGTGTGTGATCTAACATCCAGCCTTGTCCGATCCATTGCCACCCCAGGGCGTGGAGGCGCTCAAGTAGCACATGGCATGGGCCAGGTCGGTGGATCATCTCCTGCCAGTTTTGCAGGATGTTGTCAACGAGCATGCTCACTTTGTCTAGGTCGGCATTCCTACGAAAGGTGTGGACTGTGTTGATGAGCACATGACACTCAGGGTCTGTCAGCGGGGCGCTCAACCAAGGACAAATGCACCATAGGGCTGATGCCTGGGGCATGCACTTTGAGGCCTCGACACGCACCTGTACGGAGCACTCGAAAATGGACTTCACCAAGGCTAGCGGCGGTGCACCCACTTAAAGCTTGGGGCCATCCCTTAACTCTCAGGGCATACACTTTTTGCCTATATGGAGCAGGAGATCGGGCGAGGGCCATCCAAACCGATGGCATGGCATCTATCCGCTTGCGCAAAACATGGTTGGTTGTCCTTTTGCCATACTCCATGTGAGCTCCCAAGTCTCGGGCAGACGATTGTAGTGGAAGTTCATGCGCACGGGCCTGGGCTCGATCGGCAGCTTCGGTCGACCAAAAATAGGTCTTTGCTTGGTCAATCTGGAGGTCAAGCAAGTCACAGAAGCTGGTCATCAACCTTAGGCCTTGTTCGGCAGTGTTGATGTCCGGTGCAGTTAGCTCAAGGTTATCGACATAGGACCATAATCGAACCGAGGGGTGTCTTAGACGAAGCCATCGAGTCAGGGTGATGTTACATAGCAACATGGCGGCGCAGCTAAGTCCACACCCTTCAGCAAATCCCGTGGAGGAGGACAACTTAGGGCCTATGGTCCCTCTTACACTGGAGGCCCTCGTCATCTGTCCGAGGGCGGCTGTCCATGCTCGGATGACAGGCTTCGGCAATCCTAGGTGAAGGCCTATGGCAAGCAAGGGGATTCTTGGGAGGAGATTAAACGCCTTAACAAGATCAGCGACGACTCCGGCGAGTGGCACATTATCGGTGTGTGCTTCTTCCAGGTGGACTTGGGTGCTCAGCCACAAATCTGTGCGCGATTTGCCAGGGACGTTACCAGTGACTTGATCCGGCGCGAACTTCCCCAGGAATGCGAGGGTCTCCCTTGCTCGGATGGAAGACCAGGTTCGATTCCACGCTCCTGAGATCTTCTCTGAGGCATGAACATGGCCTGTCACAACTTGGGTAGGCCAGGCAGAGGTGCCTGTTTCAACTGCTTGCAACAAGTCAATCATGGGCTCAACATGATTCCGCCGCAATGCAAGCAAGTCTTGTTTGGACACTCCATCAGGGCCAATGGCAGCATGTGCTTTCTTTTTCCGCACGGCATTTTGCCACACTTCAAAAGTAATTGGAGAATATTGCATTTGCGGTGGGTTAGGGAAAACATGTTGCACGAACTCAACAATGGGCTCCCACTTAGTGTCAGGGGTGTTGCGGTGACGATCCCATCTAGTCATCCATTCCGTGTGGAATGCGGCATAGATGTCATCAAGGTCGTGTGACTGGGCTTGACTGGGCTAATCTATCTCCCTCTTGGAGGGGTGGCATATGGTTAAGCCAGAGTTTATCAGTATCATAGTGGATGACCGAGAGGGGTTGACCATCATGTTCGATGGCCTTGTCGGGCTCGAATGCATTGGCAGGGTCGAGAACTACGGCATTTTCCTCCAAGTCAATGGCTGTGATGGTGGCAATTGTGTGGGCAAGCAATGACTGGACTGGTTCAGGCCGGGCAGCTTCAAGGTCACGAAAAATGCGATTATAGGGTTATCAAGTCGATCTTGCTTGGCCTTCTGCACACGCGCTTTCCAAAGGATCTGTTCCAAATGAGCAAGATCTTTCTGGAAGTCGATGGCCAAGAGACTGGCTTGGTCCCCATCGGGTGGCACATAGGGCAGGCAGTCGGGCAAGCCTGCAATGTGCTTGGCTTTCTGGCTCCACCATTGCTCGAAATTCGGCCGAAACCCGGTGGCTTTGCGTATTGCACGCCATTGACCTAGTTTGCGTTCAATCCAGTGACTATTTGGTGTGTGACCTGCATGGTGCATTTGTGCAAGTGACTGAAGCCGCCTGAGCTGTTTTACCCAATGTGTGTGGAGCTGATTTTGGCCATGAAATGACGGTGTGAAACTGCCTGGTCGTGATGGCCGCAGCGGCACGAAGTGTTCAGTGATCCATGACCGTGTCAATGTGGCACCACGACCAGTTTGAGAACCATGAACATTGATCCCTTGGTGTCGGGCTTGGTCGACCATCTGGGTTTCAAAAGATCTCCAAACATCTCGATACTGGTGGTCAGCAGAGTCAGGGGGCGCATGGGGATCTGCCGGCTCAGTTGCGGTCCACTTCACGGGGTCGAGGTGATGGTCTGCAGTCTGCACGGGCTGTGGCCATTCTACTGGACGAGGTTGTTTCCAGATTGGAACCCTTAACTTTGGGCATTATTCTGGAGAACGGCATAGACGATGGAGTGACTTGCAACCCAATCGGATTCAACATGCACTTCAGTCACCATGGGGCAGAGTTCAGGACTCAAGAACAGTAAGTCCTTGGTGTGCTTATTTTGGATGGTCGGTTCAATGGGTTGACCAAATTTGCGGAGGGCGAGGTGCTGGACTTCCTCCCATCCGTGATGCAACAAGGTCTGGACGTTTGGGAGTTCATCAATGAAATGATTGAAATCCCCTCCGATGAACCTGGGCCCTTGGGCGCCTGAGTAGATTCTATCAACAACATGCGACAAAAGGCCATTGTTCTGCTCTCTTGTTTGGAGACCTGTGCTCTGAAAGGCATTACCATAAAAAGCCCCTCCCTGAATCCATTGTTGGCCAAACTGAAAACCAGCTACGTGACACCGCTGTTGATTAACGATTTCGGGCGGCCATGAGTGCATGAGATGGCGCCCTGGCGTGCTTGTGAGAAAACCAACCCCCCTCTCCTTCCCTCGAACAGAAAGGTAGGATTGAGCAGCAGATTTGGGGGGTCCTTGCGTCCCTTGGGGAAGCGAATTGAGGAGTTCAGCCTTATGCAACAGTCCAGTGGGGTTGATCAAACCTATGACAAAACCCGGAAACTTGGCGCTCGAAACAGTACTAGTGGGGCCAGGAGTGCACAAACACAACAAAACAACGCAACGAATTTTTGCCGCGACTCCGGATGGTCTGGCGTCTGATGCGCAGGCGAACTTGAACTTTGAAGCAGTCTTGATCTCTATGTCGGATCATCACGCGGATCTGGCCACCGCGATTGGA